AGTCTTAAGAAATCTGTTAAAATTACACTTGTAGTATTAAAATAAAAATATAAGTACAACGAAATTGTATACAGTGTCTCATTGAATGAACTAATAATACCAACAGAAAAGTAATACCGAAGGGTAGTTAAAGTGCTGAAATTAAAATATGATTGCACGTCACGAGTCGGAGTCAGATATTGCCTGGAGTTACGAGTTGATTGGTGAGATTAAAGACAGAGACAAAAAAAAAGAAATAAAGATAATGGTATCATAATATATACATTTCACAAACATAACATCTTTTCTCTCTTCTTTACTATGAACTGGTAAATAGTTGGACAGTCTGCTAGTTTCGCGGCCTGTCAGGGACTGTGAGACCTAAATTCACAAACATCTAGTTTTTACGAGATGATAAAATTAATCAATTATAATTTATTAACTAACAGTTAATGTACGAAAATATTCAAAAAAACTTTAACAACACAAACTGGCGTGGACAGCAACATATCTCAAATTTAAATCAGTAAAAAAATGTATTCTATCAATGAGGCCTGTTCAAAGATTGTTAAATTTCGGCTTATTTAAAACTAGTTTTTAATAGCGCCAGCTGCCACAGTATGTGGTATTGTGTAAATAAACAAATGCTTATAAACAAGCTATTTGTTGATGTATAGTACAGTAGTATAGCTATAACAACCAAGAAGTGGCGTGCTAATGTTAGTGCAAAATGCGAAGTCATTAAAACTTACTACTGTCACAACATAAAATACTTTTGTCGTTGTAAAATCTTAATTGCATTGCAAAATAAAACACGTTATCTGTCAACTGACATTTTTATTCCTACTTTGTGTTAAATAGTTTAAAATTATCAGTTGTTATCATGCTGCAAGAACGTTAGTACTTTGTGATAAAACAATTAAAGTGACTAAGGATTCACCGCAAACTTATAAGACAACTTGACATGACTTGAGTTAATTGTTTGCTAATAATTAGAGTCGCAGGCAACAAGAACTTTAAATCATATGAAGTTAAACTGGTACTTTTTCGAAACATTACCTGAAGTTTATTAGGGCCCCGATAAAGCCAGAAACACAGTATTACAGAACGAACGACATTTGACAAACTCTTGGCGGGTACTTAGCGGCCACTTGGTGGGTATTTGGTGTGGTTAGCGTCAAATACCCATCAATTGCTTATCAGGTACTCACCAAGTGCTCGTTAAATACCTACCAAGTGTTCGTCAAATGCTGATGGTTCTATAACATTGTGTTTTTAGCTTATCGGGGCCCTATTGAAACTCAGATGAGGTTTCGGAAAAGTACTGGTAAAACTAAATACATTTTAAAATTTTTGTTATCTGCGACTCTAATTAGAAGCAAACAATTTACTCGAGACAAGTTAAGTTGCATTTCAAGTTTGCTATAAATCTCTGGTCACTTCAATTGCTTTATTATATAAGGTTGACGTTCTTGCAGCGTGTTGATTAGTAGCAGTTCTAAAATATTTAACATAAAGTAAGTCTGGAAATGTCAGTTTACCGATAAAGTCTTTAATTTACAAATATAGTTACAGTTTTACAACGACTCAAGATCTTATGGATTATTTTAGAGATGATTTACATTTTTCGTGTCAAAAAAAAAAAAAAAAAGAAAAAAAAAAAAAAGCAGCTGTGATATTTTATAGCCATCTTAGTGTACAGGGAGTGGTTAAAAAAACTTAGAATTTTATCTAGCAACAAAATAAAAATTTGTTTTAAAATGTAAAGGAATGAGACAGATACAGTTGACTCCAATGCAAAACATAAATACTGCGATGGAAATGATCTTGGATATTTTTGAAATAATACTAAAATCTCCAACGAGTTCGAAAAATTTTCTAGTGCATTATTTAATACAAACGAATCGAGAATAAGTTCTACTGAAAATCCAGATGTCACAAATGCATTAAAAATAAAATTTATGTACCAAACAATTCACTACTGTTCTAACAATGGACGCAACCCTACATGTAATAACTTAAGTTTGTTTCAAATTTGATCTTTCTGTTCCCAAGTTATAAAGATTTTATATAGAAAAGTCTGATACAAAAATAATACACATTAACGATTTTCACACCAAACAGTTAAAAAAAAACATTACTGCTGTCATCCAATACAGATGTTTTAACTCTAGTCTTAAATTTTGGGATAACTTTTTTATTTCAAAATTCAAAAGTAAGCATTTTTTTGTATCAATAAAATTAATACATACATCCATATTGAAAGCGTCTCCCAATGTTTGAAATGTGTTTTAAAAATTCACATTGCATGCGTTACTGTACTTTAATTTATTTTGAATTTTGTAGTTAAAAAATAAACATGCGTAGTAATAAGTCAATTTTATTTTAAGTTTCTTCAAATAAGCTTAAATAATATAAAAATCAAATGACAGCAGGGTTGGTAACAGTCGATTGTAAATTTATAAAAAATTTAGGTACTGACAGCAAGATTTAATTTTTTGTTAACTCCAATAAAATTAACAACATAATTTTGAAACCACTTATTTATTATAAAAATAAAAAAGTATGAAGCGAGTAATCAAATAACAAATTTTTAGGAACTTGGGATAAGCATTAGAGATGTAGATAGGGTAAAAAAGTTCTTGTTCATAAATTGATAAAAATTTGGGGCTTAAATATACGTTTCTCTATTATTAGTGTCCATCATCTGACTTGATCAGGTTACACTAGTAAAGTAGGCATAAAGCTAAGTTGCATTTGCGTGCAACCTGATAAACATTTTTTTGACTTTGGTCATGGTAATTAAGCTAAAAAATTATTTAACTACATCATAGTCTAATATTGTTACAATAGTTGTTAGCTGATTGTAAGGACAGCAAAAATGATGAAAGAGGTTATTGTTTGTGTACACAAACGACGTATGTGTACGTAGGTGATTCCGCCATAACTGACTCAGTCGATGTTTCTGACTCGTATGCATGTACTAAAGTTTTAAAAAAAACTAATTATAAAGTCATCGATTATGTAAAAAGTTGCGCTCTTTTTGCTTCAATCACAAAGAACAGCGTCGTTTCAAAGTCGTTTTGGAGGTTTAATTTACGAAGAAAAGGTCTAAATGTCTTTTTGTCCAGAGTCGATTTTTAGTATTTTTAATTTTGGATTTTCACTGTACGAACATTAAGCTTACATACCCCAACTAAGGGTGCAACTCAAACTTAAGGATATTTCGATTTTCCGCCATATCGCAATTGAGTTCTTCCATTAACAATCAGAAAAGTGTGGATACATTGTGGCTCTCAAAATGAAGTCAAAAAGTTATGCATTTTACTTTAGGTACTGGCAACACTCCTGAGTAGTTAGATAACACCTTAAAATGGAGAATTTTTGAATCATACTATTCGTGTAAACAAACTTTGTAATTGTACGTGGATTAATGTTTCTGTCCTTTTTGTCTAACTACATCCTGCGACACGTATACTTTTTTAAGGTACGGACTATGCATTTTTTTGAAGCATATATTGGTACACATTGTCTTACATGCAGAAAAAATTCGTATCATGTTTAAGAGGTGTACGATCTTTGATATTTTACCAACCCATTGGGTCTTAACCCAGCGAAAAAGTATCCCTTTCTCACACATTAGTGTAACGGACGATTACAAAACATTTTTTTATTACTGTTGAGAAAAAATATAAGACATGTGTCTCAAAAACGACTTTTTTCGGGAAATGCATTAATTAATAGTAATGCTACTTTCAAGTTATAGAGCTGATGTGACTATTTGATTATCCATTCCTATACATGTGGTGACTTAAATTTCGCTCCAACATCAAAGTTTTCCGTCTGAACTGCAATGTGTCTGCAACCTCAAAGCCACTTTTTCTAAAGCGTACAAAAATTGCTACGGTTACTGTATTCTACTAGCGTGATCAATCTCTAATCGATTCCACAGCTTAAGTGTTTAAGGGAGAGCACGTCACTAGCCTTACTGAAAAGTCCAGGAGTGCTCTCGAGACGAAACACAACCGATCAACATTTTTTCTTTATCTTTCTAACATCAGCTTATTCGCTTCGCTATGTGCATCTTATGTAGACTTAGGTTGTGTACATATACTGTGTCACATAGTGGGTTAGCTGATATATTGTATAATGGTTTAGTTTCTGCTTCTCATGACTAACGTTACTACTGTAATACAATAAACCGTTTAGCATTCACAGTGTACCACCAGGAGATCCACTAATTGGGTCAACAGATGTATACATAGTTGTACACCATGTTAGTACGTTACTTCACTAAACAAACTACTTTTCTCTCAGTACGTGTATAGGTGCGCGAGAATGATAGGTTGACACAAAAAGAAAAGAAATCTGGTCTATAACAATGTCCTCTAGCAACACACTCAAGGCGTCAGTTGCGCCATCCAAGTCTGATAGAATCTGAATGGATCTTAACTGATGCCTTACATTTTTTTAAATATAATACAAGCCTTTTTCTTCTGTAGCTGCTCCTAATTTTTTTATTTCACAAGTATACAGTAAACGAAGGAATGCTACAACGCTGAAATTAAAATGTTTCAGCCGTTAATCTCCTGTACATCTAACTGAGCTTTTACGAGTAATTAAAACGAAAAAATGCTGTTTCAATGAAGTTAATAAAACTAATATAACTTTAAAACTTTAACTCATACAAAGAAAAAATCATAGTTACCAACTTTTGCATTTTAAATTATGCTTAAGACTATCGGAAATATTTCTTGACACTTAAGGGTACATCTGTTAAGTAATACATTGAGTTGGAAGCTATTTTGATGTATGAACTCATTTTAAGATGTCATACACACAATGTTTTTCTAAGAAGTATGTAAGTTAAGGTACAGAGAATGGAAATGCATGAAGCCTAGCGTAGTTCATTAAGTCTTTTCACAGATGAAAGTAACACTGGATTGAGAAAACGAAGATAAAAATCACGAAAAATCTAATAGTTGGGTTCTACATAATAAATAATTCTTGATAGCTAATTATTCTCACTTATTAACCATTTATTATTTACTAATTTGATACTATAACTCAATCACAATTTAGTTTTATATTTTACTAGAAATAAATTCTTCGAGAGTTATATTTTGGTGTTGGCAATGGTTCTTCAATTGTTATTGGAACAGGAGCATCAGGAAACACTGGAATACTAGACTTCGGTTTGGGTCGCTGAGTATTATGTATTTTAACTTGACAAAAATATCCAAAGTCTGGTCTTTCGATCTCAAGATTATCTAGTACACATTGGTCAAATACACTCTGCGTCTTGCGGCAACTGCAAGAAACATTAAAGATAATAACATAAAATTTTAAATAAATGTCTTATCAGATTATATGTTGCAATCAACTACATAAAAAATATTATAACAATTTACAAAGCATAAGTAAATCCTGCGTATTATTACATTAACCAACTAATTTTAATTTTGCACTTAAAAAAAAAAAAAATTAAATACTTAAAAGTAGTTATTGCGACATAGTGGCCCATCACAACAAACCCCTACCACACCTGGTGAGGGTTTAAGAACAAGCAACTGTGCCGCCGCTCACTTACTAGGAAGTGGGAGGACTACCCCTCCCCCTCCATCACCTGGTGAGAGTTTCTGAACGGAACCACTGTGCACCGTATACTTACTATAGGAGGGAGTATCCCCTCCTTCTACACCTGAACTGGAGAGACTTTCCAGGCAGGCCACCGTACATTCCCCCTTCTCAAATTTTCTTTGAGTATGTGTTTAATAAGCGAGTATACTGGAAGGGTACAAGAAAAATAAGTAAGTTTATGGTTAAATAACGAAGTAAAGATATTTATTTTATTTTATTTAATAATTTATAGCATTAACAAGGGCATTTACATGAAAAGACGAACTGTTGTACGCAATATAGCATATGAGATCTTCTGTCAAAGTCTCCTTTTTTACAAAATCATGTGCTACAATTTTTCGTACATACTCTGAACATCGTTATCATTTAAATCTCTCACAAAATTTTTTACGTTGCTTGGTGTAAAGTAATTAATTTGTGCTAAATGCAAACTTCTATTTTTTTTATAAAATAAAGTATTTAAATTCCTGCGCTACGGTAGGCATATAATCTGATATTTCGCTGAATGTGTGTAAATTACAATCGACGCAATGTACAATAAATTTGTGTAAATGATCGAACGTTACTTTTTTCAAAATTAAACTTCGATGATACTTTTTTGCAGCTCTCTAATCTTCACTTTGTCGTTTCATTTCTTCAATCTCGATGGCTTTTTCCTTTTAACTCATCGTAAACTTCAAGGACCATAGCTATCGAAATAAAAGCCACTACCTTGTTTATCAGCATACATAGCAACCCAATGAGTACCTGGCTTTGAAAGATTGTCAGTGTTTATAGCAAATGTTGTCGGTTTCGTCCACACTCGTGGGATCTGAACTGCTGGGAATACACCCATAGTATTCGAAGAGATTTGCGAGAGGTATTGCAGTATTTGCAGACTGTTTATGGTTAATTTCTGTTGTTTTTGATAATTTTTTGTCAAAATTGTGTTCACAGAGCCAATACTTTAATTGTAAACATTATTTAAAGCACATCGATATTTTAGATAATCTGGCTTTAATACGTAGTGTATGCAATACTCCTCCACTGATAAAGTTTTTAAAGGCGGACAGTCGATCTTGTATTCCAAATTTATTACTTCACAATTCGTAATTTTGTGCAAATCGTACCTTTTTTCACAACCTTTGACATAAATTCTGCGTGTGTTTCTGTCAACATCATTAATTATTTTGAAAATCGCTTTTAAAGGTACTTAACCCTCAAAGAAATCAAGTCCATGATGATGTCGGGACAACCAAATATTTTGTCGTTGCGCCTCCTTACTCAATTTCTGCAAGCGACAAGGAGGTGTTACTACCCAATGTGCGGAAAAGTCATTGTTCAAAGCAACGATAGCAATTTCTTTTGACACCATTACGTCTTTTTCACCTTGAAATACTGAATGTCTACTACGAGGTGCATTGTGTACCAACAGAAACTAAACCGAGAGACGACTGACGTGTCCAAGCAGTGAGTGTAAATATATGTAGTAAGTGGTGCCATCTAGCCACTAAAGTCGGCCATGATTTGACGTGACGCATCGATTTCGAGAATATTCTCCTACTCGGCATACACTATACAGTTAACAGTCGAAGTTAAAGCGTCGGCAAACCGAACATCTAAAGAAACGCTACCGTGTTGAATCAGGTTCTAATGAAAACATTCGTAGGCCGACAAATCATGTGTTAAATCGAAAAAAAAGAGGCAGTAACCGTTGGAATAAGATTCACCATCGATGTGATTTCCTTCATTAAGAAAGTGAACGCCAGTACCCGAAAACAAGGTATGATAAGCATCTATGTATAAATTATTCCTTTTAAAGTCTGGTTGTAATGGTTTAGAAGGAACTTGAACGCTGTCAATGTACAAAGAAAGAAAATTAATATTTAAATGATAAAAATTAAACGGGTTCATAGTACGATCGCCATCGTGAGCTTGATTTTTAACAAAACTGACGAATATTTGCTTAGGTAATTGGCCCAAAATAATGTTATCTAAAGTTTCGCCATGAGTTTCGTCACTTGACGAGCCCCGGGTTAGCATCCAACACATCGTCCATCTTTGCCACCGTATCGTCGCACCATAATGCACTTGTTAAGTGGGATGACTTTGCCACAGGTCGATAATTTAATAAAGTCTCCAAATACTTTCTGTAAGCGTACGCATTGTTAGAAGGTGATACAAGTTTCTGATTGAAAAACATATCGACTTGATTTAACAACGAATGCATAAAATTATTTATTGGCCCCGTCTTTATGATTTTAGATAATCTGTCAACATTCATTTCTTCATTTTCATTGACGGTCTACTTGACACGAAGACTGAGCATCGTGTGTGCGAGATAAATGTATTCGTCACCGTTACCTGGCACGACAAATTCGATCGGTGAATTATCCGTGAGCGATGATATCGGCTTGTATTCAATCCAGTGCGATCCTTTGACAGTTGTTGGAGTTGGTAGAGTATCAAACAAAAGAAGCTCAGACTTTAAGATCTCACACGAGTGACTGTGTAAAAAAGCCATTTTAAAAATTTAACTTTCAAAAATATCTCTTGCAGTTTTCTGTCCCTTCTTCTTTTTTCATTTTATTATTTTCTTTTTCTTCTTTTTATCTTGCTTGCACGTTTTCCTAATTTTTTTCTTTGTACTCTTACGCCGACCACACCTTGACTGCACAGTTCTACGAAGAAATTGCAACTGAAATGGCTCGTCAAGTCGGCCAACGTTATATCCCAAACCTTTCATAATTTTGTCCAATTTTTCCTCGATTTTTTTTTGGCATATTACTAGATTCTATCATTCAAGTGCAAATGTATCTTTAAAAGGTATATTTCTAGTTGTGATGTCAGACATAATGTTTATACCTGCACGAACAGCTTCTTTGCCAACAGCTTTGGCACCTCGTTTAATGAGTGGTAAAACTCGTCGAAATACTCCAGCAAGAAACGATCCGATACCTCCGTATCCTCGTTGATAGGGGGTCCCAACGTAAATGCGTCCAACACCTCCTCCACTGTTTCCATGAATTAAGGTCAGACTTACACCACCACCACTTTGTGAGATAAAATAGTCCTCGTGGGGGTCCATAATTTTCAGTCGATTCGTTTGAAGTAAAGCGTTACAATCAGCGTTTTAAAGTCGAATGGTATGGCTCTACCAATCGGGTCCCTTACATCGATTTCAATTTAGTAAAATGAGTTAAACAATAATGGTATATACATGGGTGGTGAGAAAATTTTATTTTTGACACAGCCGTACGCGTAACCATGAAGATCCAACGACACTGCCTTTAACAAACGCGATTGAACGTCCCCTGCAATGTATGGTTCACAGATGTCGCTGTAATTCATGAGCATCGACGGTAAAGCATGGGTGAGATTTGCTGAATGAACCGATCGAATTTCGTTATTTTCCAAGAAAAGACACGTTGCACTTTCAAAGCCCAAGATCTTACGTAATTTTTCGGATAATAGTAAGCGATACATGTATTCACTGCGCGCCGCTTCGGAACAAAATAACTTAGCAACTACGTAATCACCTCTTTCCAAACTGAAAACCTCGTGATCTTGCGTAGTATCAAAACTATTGATTTCTTGTATCATTTCTTTGATATTTGCTTATAGACCGGAGCGTATGCAATAATCTACATTGGGAGGGTTTTTCTTTATGTGGGATAAGGTATACGATAAAACCAGGAGCACAATGTGTATAAAGAAAGAAATACAAAACGATTTTAATTTAATTTCAAAGTAAATTCAAATCTCTCGTCTTATAAAATAGTTATAAAATTTGGTCTTGATGCAATGACTAATTTATCAATATAGTGAAAAAAGAAAATAAGAAAATAAGAAAACATAAGGTAGTTATTAGACACTATTCAACTCCAATTAATCGTGGATTGAAAATAAACTAAATAATATGCTTTTTCCGTTCGCACAACTCACTGTTTCGTATCTTAAAATTATACAACTTTTTGGATAAACTTGCTTCGTAGAGCATTAACGCTACTTTTCCTGTAACAATGATATAATATTTAACTCACGAGGAAACGCCTTTTTTTATACGAGTCTTACACGATATTTACGATTGACGTGGCTCTAGTATATCAATAAATCATAATTTTAATTAGTTCAACAATATACTTCAGACTTTCGTTTTTATTTTGATTTAATTACCATTGAACACAAAATAATAATTGTAAATAACAAAATTTGGATTCGCCTATACGATCTCTCTCGTGAACGAGTTTCATGTACTGATAGACAATAATTAAATATTGAACTGAAATTCCTTATACTCTATACTCTATTAGACTCAATAATCTCTCGGATATAATATTTAAAAAAAACATAAAGAGTACAATCGTGGGCTCTTCGCAGAATCAACGGGATATATCGGCTAGACAAAACGGTAGCGAAATATAAAAACAACAAAAGAAATGAACTTCAAAAAGAAAGAGATAGGCTAGTCAGTCAGCAAAGAAATATGAGTACGCCTACGAAGCCACCGCAAGGGATTTATTGCTTCTGCGACGAGGAATTATCGTAATGATAATTCACGAACTCCGTTCAATTGCCTATTAGATAGCCTCTTTTTACTCACGCAGACCAGGAAGAGAAAACAGGCAGGAGCAAGAGGCTTGGGATGAAGAAGACCGTGTTCCCGGAGAGGACCCAGAGAAGAGAGTCAGT